GATTTCTCTTGTTACCGCCCACCCGATCATCTCAAGGTCATGTCTTTTCCCTCTCCCACTTTTCTTCTCTTTCTTTCTCCCTTCTTCTCATTCTTGTTTTGTGGATGTAAATTGTACAGATCTCGAAAAGCCACTTCATCGAGCTGGCAATGAAGTCTGGTAACTTCAACGAGACTTCCATCGAGCTTCAAAGAAAACTGCTGGACCAATCAGGCATAGGAGAGGAAAGCTACATGCCAAGAGTTGTGTTCAAGCCTGGTCACAAGATCAATCTTCGCGATGGCCGTGAAGAAGCAGCAATGGTGATCTTTGGAGCGATTGATGAACTTCTTGCAGCGACTAAAATCAACGTGAAGCATGTCAAGATCCTCGTGCTAAACTGTGGAGTCCTCAACACTACGCCTTCTCTATCAGCCATGGTGATTAACCATTACAAGCTGAGGCATAACACAGAGAGCTACAATCTTGGTGGTATGGGATGTGGCGCTGGAATCATAGCCATTGATTTAGCCAAAGATCTTTTGAATGCTCATCAAGGCTCTTACGCTTTGGTGGTGAGTACAGAGATTGTGAGCTTCACTTGGTACTCGGGCAATGACACCATGTTGCTCCCACCAAATTGTTCGTTTCGGATGGGAGCAGCTGCAATTATGCTCTCTAGTCGGCGTATCGATAGATGGCGATCCAAATACCAACTTATGCAGGTGATAATAACAAGGAAATAGACTGATTTACTCTTGCTCTCTTCTCGGTTTCTATAGATGACGATATTATGTGGTGAAATGAAACAGCTAGTAAGAACCCATAAAGGAATGGAGGACACAAGTTACAAGAGCATGGAGTTAAGAGAAGACAGAGACGGGAAGCAAGGACTGTATGTATCTAAAGACATAATGGAAGTTACTCGCCGTGCACTCAAAGCAAACATTACAACGCTGGGCCGTCTTGAGCCGTCTTTTGAACATATATGCGTATTGGCATCGAGCAAGACAGTACTTGATGAGATTCAGAAGGATCTCAAGTTGACGGAAGAGAAAATGGAGGCGTCGAGGCGGACACTGGAACGTTTTGGGAATACATCAAGCAGCAGTATATGGTACGAGCTGGCTTACTTAGAACACAAGGCGAAGATGAAAAGAGGAGATAAAGTTTGGCAGATCGGTTTCGGGTCAGGGTTTAAATGCAATAGTGTTGTATGGAAAGCCCTAAGAAACATTAACCCTCCAAGACACAATAGCCCATGGAATCTCTAAGGATTAGTCTATACCCAACTCTAAACATGAATACAAGTAATTTAAAATGCAAAATCCTAAATTTCTTCATATATAATGTGATTGCATTTGAACATATCCCTAATGCTGGGAATCTTACATAAGGCAAAACATCTAATACAGAGATGCAATCTGCTCTTGCTTTGTTCACCATCAGCAGCTAAAAACTAAGCTTTACTACTTTGAAACATGAGAAATGCACAAAAGGATGATACTTTACAACCTCTTATATATTGTGTAAAAGGTCAAGAAGTTGTAAGAATGACACAGTAGCAAGCGTAGAGGAGAAAGCGCAACCTTGGCAAAAGAGGTAAACTTGAAGCTTTGGATAGGTTCCAGTCTCTTACACACAGATGCTGCTATCTGGAGCCACTACACCTTCAAGTTTCCATCCGCCAGGTCCCGCTAGTGCAAAAGCCTGTAATGCCAAGAGGAAGAATTAGTTTCAAATTCAAAGAAAAAGCGAGCTAGGAATATCTGAAAAAGGATGGAATATACAAACATCTTCCCAGGAGTTGCCAAAAGCTTGAAGCAAAGCAGCATTGCAAGTTTTCAACTTAACAGAAGCTCCAGAGAGCATGGAAGCTGCTTCTTCCCAACCTTTATTATGCCCCATACACCTGTAGCAATCAAATTTGATAACACAGCACAAGGAAGATGAAGATGCACACACAGAAGTAAAACAAAGAGTGATGAGAAGAAACTAACATGACAGTGGTAATGTCAGGGGTTGAATATTTAGAGACAATTTGTTGAAGATGCTCAGCAGTTTGGCCATCCATAGCAGCAATGGAGTAAAAGCTAGGAATGAAATGTACATTTGCTTCCATAAAACCATCTACTTGCGCTTGCATTGACTTCAATGTCTCCCTAGTCCGAGTCGCATCACTGTGTACACACACACAAACGAACGAACGAGTTCTCAAATCACGAAAACAACAAAACTTGATTATTCGATCAACTTAGGATTTTGGAATTAAGACCTTGAGAGAATGAGTTGCGGAATCCAATCAAGTGTGGAGAGGATTTGAGCGACTTTAGCAGCGTCGGCTTGTCCAGATTTTGTTAGAGGACGATCATGGTCTATCGTTGAC